GTGGAAGCACCGGTGACTGATCTCGGGCCGCTACTCTACTGTAGGTATGTAGACGACTGCTTTGTCCATTGCTCAACACAGGAGGAAATGGACAAATGCTTTGAGTTGTTAAAGACACAGTCAGAGTACATAAAGTTCACCCGAGAAAAACCGAAAGAAAAATGGCTTCCATTCCTGAACGTGCAAATTCACCTGTCGGAGAATGGCTACATTACAAAATGGTACCGAAAGCCAAGTAGTAAAAACATTTTGGTTCATTACCTCTCCTCTCACCCCTCTCACACGAAAAGGGCGCTTATAAGAAACATGTTTCGAACGGCAACCAACGTGTGCACGGGAACAGAGCAGAGAGAGAATCACGGAACTTAACGCAGTAAATAGTCATTTCTAATGGCTACAAAATTGTAGCCCTGAATAGGTGTGGGAAAAATGCACAAACGAAGCCGCCAAACGACAATTCTAGCGATAAAAAGGTCCCGTTTATCATATTCTTCATCTCAAATGATGTAAGTGCACCTATAAAACGGTGCTTAAGAAAGGCGGGTCTAGAGAATTCGGTAAACGTAGTTGAAATGCCACCGAGTAACTTTAGGCGCCACCTGGTTCGTAACCGCCTATAAGACCGTCTATGTGCAATGCAAAATTGCATAATTTGCCTCGATGGTAAAGATGGTGATTGTATGAGCTCGTGTATAATTTATCCGATCTGTAAGGCGTGCGGAGATGAATGCATTGACGAAACGGGCGGACCCCTCCTTGTCCGCATAAGAGAACACCTAGCCGGCAAACAAACCTCATACCCCACTAGGTACGCATAGAACCCAGAGACAAAACAGGAGGCTTTGAAGTACGTGTCACGATCCTCACGCAGGAACCGGGAACACATGCGCTCAAAACTCTCGAGGCGTTCTGGATTAATTGCAGAAATCCGAAAATGAACCGTAGGGAGGAATGCCTCATTATCACACGTGATATTGGGCAGTATATAAGACTGTTATTCCGATGGAAGGGGCATATTACGCTTCCATGTGAATTCTGTGCGGTTGGTTTCCACGCGACATATTCAGTTAAAGCCTCATAGAAAGCGCGTTTTCTCTGTTTGGTTACGGAGGTGTTTGTCCGAATCAATTGCTGTCAACTTGACCTTTCCAGGAGAGGATGGCGAAACGTCAGTTTATTCGTGAATAAGGAATAAAAATAACACCTCTCGCTTGCTCAACAAGATTACGAAAAATTATGTGAGGTCAGTATTTCAATCTTCATACACTATTCTTTGTTCTAGGACGCGGAATGAAACCAGCGAACTGTATTACAGAGAACTTCCAAGGCCCTCAACAACCATATGTTAGTGGATAAACACGATGGTACAGCGCACCTCCAGGTGAAGTAGAAGTATTGGGGTTTGACAAAAATGACCAGCACAATGTCGCAGCCACAAATATTTTCTTCAAATGAGGGCTTCGAAGAATAGGAAAATAAACTTTATTCCAGTTTATACGAAATGTTTTCAAATGAGAAGTCGTAGTGGGTGCTTTTTAAGACTAATACAGGGACGAATGCCCGGAGGTCATACGCGACCTGATCCCGTACGTTCGCATCGATTTTTGATGTGCGATGGTGCAGTCGTCAACCACATGCGACTATAATCAGCTGTTCTAAACTTCCTCATTGGAAGTCACGAAAAAGCGGTGGGTTTTTCGAGAAGTAGTTGATCGTGTAATTACCAAAGAGTCTTTCGTCTTTGTGTAAGTGTTATTGAAGCGTTTGGCCTAGTAGATTGTATATCAGCATGCCCTTCCAGGCTCTGAAGAAGGCGATACTGCCGAAACGTCAGTTAGCGTTGTATTGTATTGTGTTTTTATGGAAGTAAATATATGCTGTTTAAAAACCTCGCGATTGCTGAACAAGAAAACGACACTAATACTACTCTTCACTGGGATCAAGCACAGTGTCCACAAGTGTTCGGGCACTGTTGTCTTATGAATGCAAATATAATGTGTTTCTGCAATAGCCGACCATCCTCGGACAATTAGACACTTTTGTATTAGGATTGCCTATGTCACGACAAGCTAAGGAACACAGTCTAGAATCAAACCAAAGGTTAACCATTCACAAGACATCTACTGCAAATGAAACATTGAAACATTAGAAATCTCAGTGTTTATAGCATTAGAAAGGACAAAATAACCACAAAGTAGGAACCGAGCGAAACAGATTTCAATCTTTCACAAACATACGTTTCCTCGGGCGGTGGACATTGTGGTTCAAGCGAATTGATGAAAAGTAACTTGAAACCGATGGTGCTGCATAAACTGTTCCCGGACATCGATTACAAGTCTTGGGACATTGCTCCGTCATCAGCGTAAAGTAAACCGAGTTGTTACAGAGATAGGCTCTCTTCGGGCAATCAGACACGCCAGTGCGGGGATTTACACGATCGACACAGGCTGAAATGAATTTAACTATCGGCATAATTATATGGAATCAACGAAAGTTTGCTCCGTACCACATTGTTTTGAGCACAAATGGGCAATTTTAAAGCAAACATTACTGTTGGACAAGAGTTTGTTTCCTTCATAAATCTCAAGGCCGATTCTCCATTATTTTGTTTACCACTCTCTGTTCCACCCACATCTATAAGCCATTTAAGGTTACGCCCAATTACTACTCACTTGATGGCGAAGTTGTATTTTTCGTTTTCGGACATCTGTTACATGTGCTAGGACACTGTTCGGTCATCAGGTTGAAGTAAACCGGGTTGTTACAGAGATACGCTCTCTTCGGGCAATCAGACACGCCAGTTCGGGGGTTTACACGATCGACGCAGGCTGAAATGAATTCAACAGTGAACATAATTATTAAAACTCGATAGAGATTTGGTTCCGTACCACACAGTTTTCGGTACACATGGACAATTTTAAAACAGGCAATATTGTTCGACTTAAGTTTGCTTCCTTCATTAATTTCAAAGCCGATTCTCCATTGTTTTCTTTATCACCAACTTTTCTGCCTATAATCAACTGAGATAACGATTAATGACTACTCACTTGGTGGCAACGTTGTATTCACAGTTTCCGGACACCTATTACAAGTTCTGGGACACTGCTCAGTCATTAATGTGAAGTAGACCGAGTTATTGCAAAGATACGCCACTTGGGGGCAGTCAGACACAGCGGTACGTGGATTGACGCGATCCACACAAGCGGAAACGAATTGAACAACAAATATTAATTCAGAATCTATAAATGTTTTGCATAGAGCTGTCTTGTTCTGCGTGCAATGGGTCAATTTCCAAGCAAGTAATGTTGTAAAAAGACATATGAGCTGTACTAATCTCAAAGGTAATTCTAATTGTTTCACTTTTTTTGTTAAATGAGCCAACAAAACAAGTTGGTATTATAGACATTGTTTGCACGCAAAAGCAGACGTTTCGGTTGTTTTGCCTTTTTCAGAGCTTGGAAAGGTTAAATTAACACGCGATCTACTTAACGAAAGACTTCCATAGGCATAACACACACAACACAAATTTACATTCACATAACATACAGTTCCATTTAAACATTCACTGTTTATTCGTTGCAAGCATTCCAATTAAGTGGTGGAGAGCAGCTGTATAGGGTAATATATGGGCGAAGAATGTGTCTGGGTCAGGTAATAAAATGAGCTGGGCTACGGCGAGAGGTCACGGGTGATAACAAGACACTCCGCCTTGTGGTTTACTTCGAATTTTTGAATTGATTCAAAATGCTTCAAGAATTATGCGACCTGACGGTTTGAAATTCCTGTGCGAGGATAATTACTCAACTTCAAAATCTTCTAAGCTATGTTCCCGTGTTCTATACGTGCCTAGTGGAGAGTTTGGCTACAATTTACGACCAGGTGTCCTTCTACAGGGACGCAGAGTGATCTACCCGTTTCGCCGTGTTCGTCACCACATGCTCTACAAGAGATTATGTACACAGCACCGGAACTCGTGCTATCACCGCTTCTACCGTTAGAGCAAACTGCGTAATTTTTCGTTGTACATGGATGAGAATATAGCCGGCTACGAACTAGCCTGCGTCTTAGAACGCCCGGTGGTATTTCTATAATTTTTATCGTATTTTCTAGACTGGTCCTTCTCAAGCAACGTTTTATAGCTGTACTTACTTCATTGGAAATTAATAGCAGGATAAACAGGGCTCGCTAGAACTGCCATTTGAGGAAGCGATTTTTCCTCCATGCCTATGCCGAGAAAGCATAGTTTCGTAACCATTTGAAATGGCTATTTGGCGCCCCAGTTTCGAGGATTCCTCTCTCTGATCTCTACCTGTGCACACGCTGGCGGCGGTTCGAAACATATTTCTTATAAGCGCCCTTTTAGTGTGTAAGGGACGAAAGGAGAGTTAATGAACCACTATATTCTTACTGCTTGGCTTGCGATACTATTTTATAATGTAGCCGTTTTCGGATAGGCCGATTTGAACGTTTAGAAATGGAAGTCAGTTTTCTTTCGATTTCTCTCAGGTGAATTTTATGTACTTTGGTTGCTCGTTCAATAACTTAAAGCGTTTGTCCATCTCCTCTTGTGTGGAGCTGAAAACAAGACTACCATCTATATGCACTAGGGTGATGACCAGAGATTGATTACTGGTGCTTCAACTTCGGACATAAAGGCGATGGCCAGGTTGGCATCAGTAGCTGTCTTATTGCCAACCCTCTAATTTGTGCGTAATATTTCCCAAACCATCCGAAGATCGAGCTGTCTGGACACTCCTTTAAAAGAGCAATAAGCTGCTCAGTCGAGAAGTAGCACATATTTATTAATCTTTCCTGTTACACATGAATCTCGTGGATAGCTTGTATTGCGGAGCTAAAGGGCAGTAATGTCGAAGGACTCCATAACATACCCCCAGTTAGGACGCGTGTTACGCAGATGATCCAAGAACATTCGGCTCTTCTTTAGGTGGGCACGTACATGTTTAAGCAAATGGAAGAGGATTCGGTTCACAAAACTAGTCTATCGGTAGGCCCGTCTACACAACTAACCATGGGTCCAAGTATGAAGGTTGAGGAGTCGTAGACGTCAGATCATCGTAGGATATTAACTTATGAGCTCTGATGAGCAAGTATGAGATGAGAGATGTTAGTACTTTGACTTTAATTTGTGAAACATCTAAAGGTTCTAAACTTGTCGCGCTTCCCACTTTGACCCATTCATTGCTCCATTTTCAGTATTGACTTTTGAATTCCTTCACAGATAATGCTCAAAAAAACAGAGCGTCTTGAAGACGTTTCTTCGTTATCTCAACTTCTATTACGGAGGAATTCAAAGTCTCCATCGCTATCGCTAGCTAATGGTCTGGCAGTTTTTAACTTTATTAGTCATCGAACCTGTTATTTTTTCCTTCACCATTGTCGTGCTTTTAAGTGACTGGTTCGGAAATCAATTCAGAAATTCAAGCTGTAATCGTTAAAGTGGCATATCATAACTTAGAATAAATCTTAGTAATCGAAATAGAACTCATTAGCATCTGCAGATTTCTCTCCACATGAAGTAGCTATTATTCTGGTTGTACAGAACTCTGGAATTCTGTAGGCGATGAAGTGGCTAAAGCAATTTCGACCTCGGCTTGGCTTCTGAAGCACTTTACGCATAGGAACTTTTTGAGATGGCCGGGGATATGACATTAGGTAAGAAAATGGTTAATTGGATACAGTGGATGAGGCACGGTTTCGTAGCTTAGCTTGTTCAACCCTTTGAAGCATCGTTTTAGCAAAATGTGCACGGCGGTTGTTCATCGCGCTGCAAATTTGTTTTACATTCATTTCTCGAGCTTTCTGAAATTTCATATCTTCTTTAAAATTTTTGAAACAGTTGAGATGCTTACACCGAGTTCTTATGGAAGTCCTAGAACAATTGTGCGTGTATTTTCTTTCAACGAAGCTTTTAGTCCTTCGTCGTTAACGGCAGAAGGTCTTTACTACCATCCCAATGTTCCATGCTAGATTCGCTACGAAAAAATTTTTCAAGGCAACGTTGCACTCTTTGTTAGATAACACTTTCTTGGCTTCGCACACCATTAACGATTCAAACGCCTTGCACTGCAGTGCGGCCAAATTTGATCTCGTAGGTGTAAATTTGAGGAAGCTGCTGTTTTGAAGTCTCAGTGTCTGGCCTCTAAAATCGCTCAGGAACATATTTGTATCACAGTTCTCCTATGCACAGTAAAAGTGAATAAGCGACCTTTGCTTCGTTGCATCTGCACATTACTTGAAAAAAAAACGGTTTTTAAAACGTGTATAAGAAAATAAACATTAGAAATCCTGCGTTGATCTCCCGAGAAGACAATATAATCTCTGGATATAATCAATGAAAGCTCACTTGGGATTGACGTTGTGTTTCCCGTTTCTAGACATCTGTTACAAGTTTTGGGACATTGTTCGGCCATCATCGTGTAGTACATCGAATTATTGCAGAGATATGCCACTCTCGGGCAGTCAGACAGGCCAGTACGAGGATTAACGCGATCCACACATGCTGAAAGTTTTCTTACTCATATTTTATTCATAGACATTAATAAACAAAAGGTAACCGTGCTGCAGAAACCTGGGTACTTTTCAATCACATCGACCCTATACTGGCCATCGTGAAAAAGTGCAGGTGATGAATATGATAATGTATTTATTTAGTAAACTGTGGTGAAAGGAAAAGGCATTAAAACTTTTACTTATTTTCTATTCGGGTAAACACTAGGATATGATGCTAAAAATCTTTAGGTCCTTATGTTCCTAAAGCTGGCAGGACCCGCTCGGGTAGCCTTGCAGGCGACAGCGACAAGCGGAAGGTTTACTGACGACCGTCCCGGTCCATCGACAATGAACGACAAGATAAGTGAAACTGGTAAATATTGTTAATTTGGTTTTGTGTTATCTACAATTTTACATGGAAATGGGAAGACAAAATGATCGAAGATACATCAGAATAAACGAACAGGCTCTGGCTCGCTTCAAACAATGCTCATTTTACATCAATAAACGATAATGTGTAATTTTTATCTCCTTTACATTATTCTTTGAAGGTAAGGTAATATGTGAAATAAAATCGCAATGATGCTGAGATATTTGCAAAACTTGGATGCTAAGCCGGATTGAACGGCGAACAAATCCTCTTTCGATGCACAGAGCTAGCTTATTTTAATGAGTTCGTTAAGGTCGATACGTGAGAGCTTATCTTTTTTGTCTGTGATTTGCTGTGATCCAATAAATAACGATTACTGACAAAATTAAAAAATTCGTGCTTCCTAACAGTTGGCACTTTTTTGGTAAAGGAAGTACCAGTGTGTTGAGGACATAGGGGAGATGTGTAGGATGTCACAAAGACGTATTAAGGTACCATGACTTAAAACGCGCTGCAAAATGTACTAACTCGCTGAACTGTAGAAAAAACCGCTGTAAGAAATATTACTGTTTAAATTTTGCAAGAAGTAGAAGTCTGAAAAGTGAGATTTTACGTTTGTTTTGGTTTCAAAATTTTACAATTGTTCTAATTATAAGCCACGTTGAAGCAACCAGCGTTGACGCATACTCTATAATTGCTGAGCAGGTTTGATTTGTAGCCCCATACTCTCTAGATTACCCTCACATTCGGACTTATATAGTGAAGCAAAAAATATTTCTGTATCACCTTAAGCGATAGCATTTTCTGCGGTCAATGCTCTACCCAACAGCAATAGTTTCTAATCGCGAAATGTGCATGTCCGGAAAACCACCTTTGCAAGTTAGTGCGGATACTTCAGGGATAAGGAACGATAAGGAAGACAATTTTTATTATTATGGATAAAATATATCTTATCACAGGACCTCCTTACAGCACTCTGTGTCGGAAAAACTATCGCTTGAGTGTGAAGTGCGGGAGGACAGGTCCATGGTGGAAACTGAACCACTTGAAAGTAAATGCTTTGAATCAATGCACTTCGTTCAGTTCCCTCCCCACGCACGTATTTAATGCATTTTAAGAGCCACATACTCAAAACGCCTTTGGAAAAAAACTTATTCTTAAAATAATCCCACATCATTAAACCGGACCCTTCGCTATTTCCCCGCAGGGAATAAACAGAAGTTGAAAACAAGTAAAAAAAAATAATATTTGGATTGACGAATTAGGTAAAATATAATACAAACACTAGAAAACTTACGTGATATATTCGCTGTCGTAGTGGTACTGATTGGAGTGTTTGTGGTGGTGATAGTAACGGAAGTGGGCGAGGTAGTGATTGGGGAGGTTATGCTAGTGATGGGTGTAGTCGAGGTAGTAATGGGATTGGTAGTAGTGACAGAGGTGGTGGATGTAGTGACTGGAGTAGTGGTGGTAATGGTGGGAATGGTGGTGGTGGCAATGATAGGGGTAGTAGAAGTAGTGATCGGAGTAGTGGTGGCAGTGATGGGAGTGGTGGTCGTAGTGATGGGATTGGTGGAAGTAGTGATGGGAGTAGAGTTGTGAGTAGTGGTGGCCGTGATAGGAGTGATGTTCGCAGTGGTGGAAGTGGTAGAAGTAGCGGAGTTAGTGATGGTGGTGATGGGGGCACTGGAGGTAGTAATAGGTGCAGTGGTGGTAATGATGAGGGTAGTGGTGGTGGTAGTGATAGGGGTGGTGGATGTAGGAATCGGAGAACTGCTGGTAGTGATAGGAGTGGTTGTGGTGGTACTGATAGGGGTAGTGGATGTAGTCATCGGAGTAGTGGTGGTAATGATAGGGGTAGTAGAAGTAGTGATCGGAGTTGTGGTGGTAGTGATGGGAGTGGTTGTGCTGGTGATGTCAGGAGTGATGTCGTTGATTACCTGTAAATATTTTCGAAGAGCACTGGTATTCAGGAAATATCATCTGAGTCATAATGTGCATTAATCTCACCTAATTTGATTCTAATGTAGGTAATTATAATAGTAAAAATAATAACGATTAACACTAAAAACAGTAAGCAGCAGGCAGGAAATAAATTGCAGTAGGCAGAAAATGAAGAGTCAGCATAGAAATAAAAATGGCAATAATAATAGTGCAGTAACGGCTGACAACAAGAAGACAGTCTTAGCTTATTATTTACTGCTGTTCATAATGGGCTACATCACGACTACTGCACCTTTCGCCTTTAGAGTAAAAAAAATTAAGAAATGACTATTACTGGTATTCACCAACCATTGAGTTTTCGCAGCATAATTGGTCGTCTGCAGTTGTAATACAAGTTGCTGTTGCTAACGGGCAAATATCAAGAACACAGA